GCCCCCCCCCCCCCCCCGATGTTCAGCGACAAAATTTTTGACTAAGGTACGAAAAATCCTAGATCCGCCCCTGATATATACTACGAGAAATAGTGTTACAAACAGGTTACATACTTGGTAAAACGTTTCTGCCTTTTGTTTTGACTCAAAGTGCACTACGCGTGGTAATACTCGGTATTGTTTATAGTCATGAAATTGTGTTTAACCCATCTAATCATCAGGTGGATTAGTGACATTGATCCGATTCTGCTCAGCTGCTTCAGGGACCAACGATCTAGTACTGGAAAGACAGTTCAAGAAGCTGTTGTTTTGCAGGCAATCAGTGATCAGTCGTTGATTTGCCAACACTGCATCAACGTTTTGAGAAATGCTATCCATTTTCTTGTTTATTTGGTTCAATATTGGTAGGTGTTGTGCATGACCAGGCAAAATGTTTTCGAAATTATTTGGGATGCGAGAACGTGGAAAATTGATTTCTTCCAAAAATCCGACCAGTAAATCCAACTGTACAGGTGTAGAAACCCAGGGCTCTGATTGCCGAACTGAATCAAAAGAGAGATTATTAAGGGAAGGACTATTCCATGACAAAGAACGTGCATTAGAGTTTGTAGATTCTGGACTGAAGGACAGTGTATGTAACTCACTTGAGAATGTGGAATATCAAATATTATTGTCAGACCTATGTAGGCAAATGTATATGACATATCACCATGATTACAGGAGTTACAGGTTGTAAGTCAGAACTCAAAGTTGGGAGAGATGATTGAACAGTGGAATTAAAAGATGATGAAACCAAAGGAAGAACAGAAAATATATTATTTGAGGCATCTAAACTTTCTGGAACAGATAGATACTAGAGGCGATGTGATGGTGGGCAAAATAGATTCATGATTGTGGTTTGGAGATACAACAGGATGTATCTTTGAGTGGTGAATGATGAAGAAACAGTTGAAGAATGTAAAATAGACAAGGAAGGAATAATGGGTGGTGCAGCAGTTGAAAGATTGTCCTATGAAACAACGGTAGCAGGTAAAACAGATGAAGTGGCAGATGGCACTGCCGAAGCATTTGTGGTTGCAAGGTTCTTTAGAGGATTTTGAGGTTGTATAGCAGTGACAGGAGAAATAGTATTATTGCTTTCATTGGGAACATTTACAATTTCTTGGGCAGTGGTGACGACTGGCAGCTTCCCTAGGCCGGTTGCTTTTTTT